TTCCCTTTAGTTTTGGAGGGGTTTTGGCTTGTCGGAGGCGTTCTGGAAAGTCTCCTGGGGCCCTCTGGGGCTGTCTTGAGCGTCTCTGGAGGCGTCTTCAGGCTCCAGGCACTTCTGGGTACGCGTTCCCCTTCTTGGGCCTGTCTTGGAGCTGTCTTGGCGCCCTGTCAAACCGCCTACGACCCTCCGGACACTTCTGGGTTCGCGTTCCTCTTCTTGGGCCTGTCTTGGAGCCGTCTTGGGGCCCTCTCGTGCCGTCTTGGGTGTCTCAGGGACTGTCTTGGGGCCTTCTTGGGCCGTCGTGGGGCTCTCTTCCGTCGCACTGGCAAAACTACGCGCGCGCGTGCGCGCAAAGAGGCGGTGCGCGCGCGGGGTGCAAAGCGGGAGGCAGCCAGCGCGCGGAAGCAGGAGCCAAACTGGGGCACGCGGAGGAGAAGGGAAGGAGGAGGAGAAGGCTCGGGGGTCCTGAAATAGTGCAGTGAGAGACCTTACGGATAAAAGGGGGGGCTACAAGCCTCCCAGACGAAGGAGCGCGACCACAGAAGTTTTGTTTCCTGGAGAGGCTATGGTCAGCTGGACTCTGCGGACCCGCGTGCCGCAATTCAGCACGAGGCCAAACATCGAGAGAAACTGATGACCACGCAGGGTAACCAACGGCTGACCATCGAAGGAAGCATCGCGTATCACGATCCTCGGGTAACAAGTCCATCTCCTCGGGTAACGAGTCAGGCCAGGCTCGGGGACTGCGTGCTTTGATATGCTGCCTGCGTTAGGCTTCCCGATTGACATATTCCTCCACCTCCTCCACCCCCTCCACCTCCTCCTCCTCCCCCAGGGTCTCGCATGCCCTACGAGTACACACGCCTGCAACGCCGATACGCGAAGCAAGCAACATAGGGTGAAGTCCGCCGACTTCGCGTCTGGGAGAATTTGCGGTGGAACTGACCATCTTATGACGGCGGTCTCAATCAAACTCACCATCAGATGGCTAGGACCGTACAAAACGAACAACATGTCATATATTCGATGATATGACAGTCAGACAAGCGTCAATGTTAGCCGTAAGACACCCGTCCGAATCAAACCGACAAAGCACACAAGAACAAACACATACCCTGGGCCGAGCGCAAGAAACTGGCTGAAGTGCCGATTACTAGCTTGCGCCAAGCTCAACGGAGCGAGCCTGGGGCGGATTGGAGGAGGAGCTGCGGAGACGGACAGCAGGTGCAGAGGCGCGTGAAAAACACTGCCTTGGCTCCTCATCGTCACCAACCCCTCCATCGAAGGCTTGTGTTCGCCAATTTGTTCCGAGGCCTGGTGCCAGGCGAGGGAGGAGAGGCACCGCGCGGGAAGGCCGGCGACTCTGTCGCCTCGCCGCCGCGCTCGCCTCCCTCGACCGGCAGGCAGCTCGGCTGCGTGGGGCGCCCCGGCGGCTGCTGGCTGTGCGATTGAACGGCAGCTGGCGCCGACACGAAGCGCCCCCTGGCTTGCACATCGGGAACTGCACGGGAATTGTACGCTGGCATGCTGAAGAGAAGAGCGAGCCGAACCGAGAAGGCTAGCTGCAAAAGCTCGTCTACCAGCCAGCGGAAAAAGGGGGCGCACTTTCCTTGCGAACCAACGGCCAGAAGACACTGGGGGGCGGTTCGCCCTCCATCTTCAAATCGCCCACCTCGACTATCCCCTCAACCACCCCGCCATTCCACGAGGGCGATGAGAAGTTAGCAGGCTTGCCCTGCTTCGGGGCAGCTCCACCTACTAGGCCAGAGGCGCGCTCATCGTGGCGATTGAATGTTCGACCTCGCTACTGCTGCATCTTCGCTGCTTCTGCGTCTTCTGCCATGTACCCCTTTTGAAGGCCTCCGTCCTTTGTCCCAAGGTGGTCCAGGATCGCCTTGCTTTGCTTCAGGAGCAAGATGAGCTCCGTGGGCTTGTCCTGCTGCGTACGCATGATGCCGTCCACAAACTCGTCGATATCAATGGCACCGCTGCCGTCGAAATCGAGCATGCGGAAAATCTCCTCCATCTGGTCCAAGTCCACGATGCGCCTCAACTGCTCTTTGAGTTCTTCGAGGGCATTGACCAGCTCATCCAAGTCAACCTCACCGTTATCGTTGGCGTCTGGTGCACTGAAAATGCTCTTCAGCTTCGGCATCATCTTCTTCTCCCAAGCCTTCTCCCAAGCCTTCTTCGCATCGTGGTCTTCCGCGGCGCTCCGAAAGAGCGCCTCGACCTGGATGGCGGTGATCACGTTCATGAGGGCGATGGGCCCGATAAGCAGGAAGATGAGGAAATAAGTGCACAGCCAGGGATTGTGGCCGATGATCGGCCTATACACAGCCGAGACACTGTCCAGAGTCATGCACTGGATAAGGAAAGTCATAGCTTCAAACAAATTATCAAACCTCGAAGTGGCATCAGCGTCGTTTTCTGGGGAATTCGTGTCCGCGGTGATGAGCTCCATACCCCAAACGGCGAAGACGTACACAACAACCAGCATGATGCCGTCTTGGGGCTCTCTTGGAGGCTTATTCTCTATCTTCCAGCGGTCTTGGGGGCCTCTGGGGCCGTCTTGGAGCGTCGGGAAACTGAAAAGGCGAAAACTCGAAAAGCCTTCAACAACCTAAGGAAAATCAGAGATTGTTGCCTCTTCGGGCGCTCTTGGGAGGCATCTTGGGGGCCTCTTGGGCCCTCAAGGGAGCCTTTCGAGGTGGAAGCTGGGATTGTCGGTTGGGGTTACCCCGCCTGTGTCCTTATTGGGGCCGTCTTGGAACGCTCTTGGGCCGTCTTGGACGGCGCGGGCGCCGGTTCGGGGCCCTCTGGGGCCGTCTTGGGGCCCTCTTGGAAGGGAACTTGGGCTGTGTTGGAGGGGAGATTGGGGGCCTCTCGGGCCGTCGTGGAGCGTCGGGAAACTGAAAAGGCGAGAACTCGAAAATCCTTCAAGAACCTTCTGAAAATCAGCGATTGTTGCCTCTTCGGGCGCTCTTGGGAAGCCTCTTCGAGGCTTCTTGCCTTGGGGCGTCTGAGCGTCTGAGAGGCCTCTTGAAAAATCTGGGGCTAATTGTGGGGTCATCTATACCGTCATTGGTCGTTTGGGCAATCCGGAAGGGCGGTTTCTGACAGTCTGGGGCCGTCTTCGGGCGATCTTAGAAGGCCCCCGGCGCCCAGGAAGCCCCCCTGGGGCCCCCGGCACACCCATTAGCGGTCGGGGTCGCGGCCCCGGGGTCCCCGGGTCTGGTTCCCGTCACATGTAGCTTTGCTAATACGATATTTTACAATCTATATGCATAGAGAAATGATCTGGCCAGACCTGCGTCCCGCTGGGGGCCGCCGGGTCCCGAGCGCGCCTGGAGGGCTTAAGACGGCTCCTGATGGCTTCCAGAGGGCCCCAAGCTGGACCAAGAAGAGGGCTGCAAGACGCCCATGGCCCCATGACAGTCCCAGAGGCCCCCTTCTCGCCCCAAGACACCCCAAGAGGCCTCCCAACAAGGCCCCCACAAGCCAAAATCGCCAAATCCCTTGGTAAACCGTACATCAACAACTTCTCGCCTTCCCGACGCTCCAAGACAACCCCAAACGCTCCGCAGACTGCCCCAAGACGGCCCAAGAGGGCCCCCACGACGGCCCAAGAAGGCCCGAAGATAACCCAAGAGGCGCCCAAAACGGCCCAAGGGGACCCCAAAACGGCTCCCGAGAGGCAACAAGGACCCACACAGAGTCCCCCAAGAGGCCTCCCAAAGGAGCCCCAAGAGGCCAAAATCGCCGAAATCCCTTGGTAAAGCGTACGTCTTCAGAATCAACTGCGTCTCGCCTTCCCGACGCTCCAAGACGGCCCAAGACGCCCCCCAAATTGCCCCAAGACGGCCCAAGAGGCACTCAAGAGGCCCCCACGACGGCCCAAGAGGGCCCCAAGACGGCCCAAGAGGATGCAACCTATGTACTGCAATCTACGCGGTCCAATCGCATTCCCGGGCACGCTCGAAGCGTCGCAAGCTCGAGAAGGCGAAGAACCCAAACACATTGGAAAAAAACAATGGTAAATCAACAGATTTTGCCTATTGGAGCCATCTGGTGCAGGGTCTTGGAACTCTGTAGGAGCGGCTTCGAGGCGTCTGGAGCCGTCGCTGCGGCCTCCCTGCAGCCTCTGGGGGCCTCTGAAGGCCCCGGGTCGCCAAACCCCTGTGAAAACATAGGGAAATGACACTAGGCGCCCCCATTTGTGGTAGAGGCCGCGGCCCTGGGGGCCCGGGCCCCGGTGCGCCGTTCTGTAAGAGCGGTATCAAGGCGTCTGGAGCCGTCGCTGCGGCCTCCCTGCAACCTCTGAGGCCTCTGAAGGAAGGCCCCAGGTCGCCGAATCCATGTAAAAAACATAAATAAAATGACACTAGGCGCCCCCATTTGTGGTAGAGGCCGCGGCCCCGGGGGCCCGGGCCCGGTGCGCCGTTATATGTATGCTAGAACCACGCGCGCGCTTCGCGCGCGCTTAGGTTCTAGCGGGGGCCAAACCAAAGTCACGTGACCGGTCTTGGGAATCTCGCGTTGCTCTCTCGGGTTCATTTCGGAGTCCTCTTGGGGCCTCGGTGGCTCTTGTCATTGCCATCGGAAAAACCAAGGAACCCCCGAGACAGCCCAGCTCCGAGGGGGCCCAGAGGTCCGCGGCGAAGGCGCGGGTAGTGTATTTGTTGTACAACAGGCTGCTGCGTGAACGTGGAGGCTCACTCCTCAGCCTCCGCGGTGTGACAAGGAAACATGGCATTGACGACTGGCACGGCGTGCAATATGCAATCGTAAACAATTGGTGAAACGCACACGGTGGATTGCACAGGTGCAGCACAACTCGTGGGCTGTCTGATGGACGGATGGCAAAAAGCACTGCCGACTGCAGGAGCTGCTTTGGGCACCAGGCGATGCCTGCTAGATGTGCAAATGGCGAGCAATTCTGCCAGTTGCGACAGCTGCATGACACTGTGAGTCGGGAACACAGAATCGCACCTGAGGGCATCGCATGTTGATGGCAGAGGTTCGAGACAAGCAATCCTATGGACGACGGCGACGTCTCCGTCGCGCGGGGGCGAACGCAATATGTAGGCCACAGGAGGAGGGATAGTCCAATGCATCGTGTCGTGAGAGCTGAATGGTACGATGAATATCTCTTGAAAGTCGGTCGGTGTCAACGGGAACATAGCGTCGTCCTCTTTGGGTGGAGTTTGCCATGAGGGCTGCTATGTCGCAATTACGTCTGGTCGCATCTATGAGGCGATGGCGTTGGTCCCCGAGGGGCACACTCAAGACAATGATTTGAATCGCATGGACCGGCGTTGGCATGGGTTGTTGCCGCAGAGAAAGCAGGCAGTGGCGACAGCGGGGTTGATTTCGTGGAGCCCGCAGGTGGCGCTTGTCTGTTGTTCGCCCCCATTTTTGCGGCGGTGCGCCGGCATTGCATCAGAAAGACGTCGTGGGTGCAGGACTCAGCGGCGATGCGGTGGGCATCGCGTGGTGACCATTTGCGCAAATCATTTCTATGGGTCAGGCTCCGTGCTTCCGTGAGGCAGTAGGGATGCGGTAGCGGGTTGATCGTCATGCGGGTCAGGCGCTGCAGACTGGTGGGAGCAATCCTCGCCTTCCCTGCGCGCGGAGTCTTCCTTCGCCGCTCACCGACGTTGTCGCGGTTGGGGGCGACAGGGTCTATGGTTGACCGCGCGGAGCAGCGTGGGCTGCGGAGTTGCGAGCGACGGTGGTCACATGTTAATTTCGTGGAAGCACAGCGGTCCGTCGGGAGGAAGCGGCGTCGTCTCGGCAACGATCGCTGGCCAACTCCGTCCCAGACTGGGGGGGGGCGGAGGTGCGCCAGTCAGGTGAACGGAAGCTCTGGGCGATTGGCTGGCAGTCTCGTCGAGGGTGATGTGAGGCACAACTGCGGCTTCAGAATGTTTCGCGCGCTTTGCTTCTACGGTCTCCTCGGCCTCTTGTTCTTCGCCAGTGTCATTATGGAGCATGGCGTCGCATTCCCCCCACTCGCTGGGGGGTCGACGACGTCGGCGACATGCAAGGACGAGTACGGCACAAGTCTGCTGTCAGGGGTGTCTGCCGTGGCCAGGTCAGAATGATCTGAGTGTGGGGGGAGGTTTGCTGGCGAGGGATTTGTCCTCGTGTTGGTAGCATCGGCACGATGCGGGGGAGATGTCTCGTGGCCAGGGTCTCCACCCTGATCTTTTTTGTGCGTGGATGCTTGGGCAGCTTGTAATAGCTGACGGTCGACAATGTTAGTAGTGAAACAGCGGTCTGGTTGGTCGGACGACGCGCCTTGGGCGCGCGTTTGCGAGTCGTCTCCCGAGTCAACGACGACGCATCGCACGGTTTCGAAGGAGGTGCCTCGTGAATGTGCAACATAAAGTTGGCCATGGGCAAAGACAGGAGCGGGCAAGCATACACCCAGGCGCCCTGACATTTGTCCTTGGTTTTTGTTGATGGTGATGACCCAAGCGGGTTTGACTGGGAACTGGCTTCGGCGAAGAATGAAGGGGAGTTCGCAGTCGCCGCAAGAATCACAACATATACGCGGCATCAGTTCTAGTCTCCCGGCATACCCAGACATCTTTGCGCCCCAATGAAATTGGGGCGTCTGGAAAGCCTGCAACAATGCTTTACACAAATGATAAAATTGGAGCACGGGCATCAATATTGGAGCGCTCCAATATTGTAGCGTTGTTGCCTGTATATGTATGTACATATAATGCATATGCATTTGTATATATACATACACCAGTGCATGTATATGTGTGTATGTATGTATGTATGCATGTATGTATTTCTGTTGGTGTGTATGTATGTATGTACATATATGTATGTACGTATGCATGTACGCATGCATGCATGTAAAATGCATATAATACATGTGTGTGTTGTTGGTCATATGGCGCAACCTTCGCGCATACCATACCGTCGTGTTGGCCTGATCCTCGGCGCCCGTGGTGTGCCCAATCGAGGATGGTGCACGTGTAGCAAAACAGATGTATCATCCAGCATCCCCCCTAGGCGAGGAAAGTTTTGTTGTCGCCTCCGACTCGGGGGCGGACTGGCACGCGTCGAAGGTTCGCATGAGAGGCGGCGGGGGGGGGGGGGGGGGGAGGGCGAGGGGCCTTCCGTTGTCCTCCTCCTCCTCCGTTTGAAACGCACGCGCTCCAGCCACGCGACACGCGCGCACGCGCACACACACGCACGCCCTAATACTCGAACCCCCCCGTGCCCCACCTCCCCCAGAGGGGGATCCACCAGCGCTGTTGCGACGCCATCGCGCGGGGCGGAAGGGGAGGGCGAGGAAGCGGGAGGGAGAAGGGAGAGAGACGTGCCCATCATTCCTTAAGCCTCCCGCAGCAACAAAAAACTACCCAAGACGCCGAGGAAGGCCCCAGGAGGGCCCAGGGAGGGCGGGGCCCGAAAAGGTTTAGATCGAAAACCTTCAACTACGATTTTTCGTCTAGTGTTCCTCCTTTTCCTGCC